TACGTCATCGCCTCAGAGGTTTCCAATTTTACTTTCAAACTTACAGTTGAAAGTTACCTTGATTTACAGGTTGTTACACTCGCGTTTTGCAGTGCTTTAGGGGGTCAACGAAGACTGTTAGTTTTTAGAGAGAAGCAGTGAACGTCAGGAGCTTTCTCCAGTCCCTGTATGGAACCCCTGAGTTACAATAATAACCGGTCATGTTTCTTTTGTCATTACTAATTTGTTTTGGTAATACTGTTGCAATAAATTGTTTGTCGTAAGTAAGGTCAAACGTATCTCTCAGAAACTTCCAGTGATTGTTCGCGTTGTCTATGGAAAAGTTTTTGTTTGAGTCGTGTTTTCTGTAACGGATGCAACTTAAATAAGCATTTACCGTACTGAAAATTTGACATTGCTGCGGGAGCTCTCCTTTTATGTCAATAGTGGCAACAACTGCATGATCTAGTGTGTCATTGAATATAGTGCTTATTTGCAGAGTTCAACGCAGATGACGTGAGGCAAATGACTATGTACAACGTCTATGTTCGCAATCGTTGTTTGAACATATTGCTGAACATGCTGCTTCACACCAGCGGCAAACTGAACATGCAGTAAGCTGTAAGTCGCTTAGTTGATCGATGCTCATGTAGACATGATTGTTAGATTATGCGAAAACGTGGCGAGGGTCTTGGGTTTCGACTGGTTATTCGCATTTCTTAGTCCCGGTTGTCACGACGGCACCGTTTGGACCGCGTTGCAGATTCTGCTTTCGTTGACTAAGCATCCGTCGCTGATGCAGAAGTTTCAAGACGGGACCGGCAATGGCCACTGGCTGAGCGAGGCTGAAGTCGTGGTAGAAAATCGCGCTGCCGTGCTGCTCGGTTTCAGTGTGTCTGCGCGGGGAGGCACAGTCGGTTCGTCATGCGACCTTAATCCAGAAATCTGCAATATACCCGGCTACGTAGCATTGCAGCTTCTGCTTCCAAACCACGCATCGCTCTCCGGGTGTTTTCTAGCACTGCTGTCAATGTTAGTCGGCCAGCCGGCAAAAAATTGCCTTCCGTGCGTCCATGAATTCGACCTAGACACCATCTGGTCGTTTATTTTCGCCGTCTCTTCCAGCCAGTCGGTGACTGACGTGATCAGCAAATCGGTTCTCTCGCTGCCGGCTACTGGCCCGCTCCTGGCCATGGTTCGGCGATGCATTTCTGAGGTAAGGCTTTTCTGAAATATGGTGTTTTGCCGCAATTCGAACCATCGTTGTTTCACCTTTAGAATAACGACACTCCATGGTGCCAAAACTACCCTACCGCGTTGTTGCAGTTCTTCACCTATTTCTACCATAATGTACAGGAGTTCAGCTGCTATGCCCAAAGCGAGGATTTTGCTGTTCCCCTGGCGCTTACCCTATTCAGTGATCCTGACTCTACTACAAGCCAAACGCAGAAAAGTAAGTGCTTCTGCGAATATGCATGCTACAATGAATTTACGAGACTTTTATAGAGAATGAAGATCAGCCACCCCATCCGGCTGTAAAATTAGTTATCGACCTGCTGCGAAACATAATAATCGACAGCTTTTCTTGCGGAGTGTTAAGTAAAGGAGATTCTGTCATCGACCTGATGATCAATGTAAGAAAAAATTCTTTCATTTTAAACAAATGTGATTCATTACATTAATTTTATAATGATGTCGAAGACAATTTCAAACGCATGTTTAGTAACATTACCATCTAATATCGTTGAAACGTTATGCATATCTTTCGCATATTGTTGGAGAGGGAACAACGAAAACCACGGTAAATTATTTTTATCCAGTGAATGGCCAGTACTGAGATTTTAGTCCATGTTTCACTTACTTTTCTCATGATAAGGTGGTTGATTTATTTGGTCGCTGTTGTTCTCAGCAGTGGCGACGTTTATTTCATTTTTTAGCTTAATTCATATATTCAATCGTTCACTCATTTTCATAATTGAATGAAAATCCTGTTGCCTCAATTGATCGTTAATAAACAGGCGCCTAATATCTGTTTTTAGCTAACACCGGACAGCTGTGATGATGCTGAGTATCAAAACTTCATAACATCACTGTTTTCGTCGGTTGTGGTGCACGTTGTTGCTTCGGACGTATTGGTCAACGGAAGCATGTCGTCGATGACGTCTTCCTCTATTGCTCGGACTTCGTATGGCAGCCTGGCAGCGAACGTGTTCTATTTTACGTCTCGACTGGTGGACTGCGTATGGAACGGTATGCGCGGTCCGTATGGTGACCTCTTCGATTTCTGAATAGTCGTTATTTTCCTAGGTTCGTTCTTGCACAACGGAAACGACGTGTTTGACTACATTCTGAAGCTGATTAATCAGCTGAAGCGCAGGACTGGACCCGGTGTACCGTATGACTCGCTTTACTCGTCGCTGAACCGCTTCGTGCTGTTCGTTTTGTCCCGTTCCTGTGACAATGTTCAAGGCAAGTCTTCGCGGTCATTGTTGTCAACTAGCAGTGCACACGTGTTTTCTCGCTTTTACGTTTTAACTGCTTTGTTTTCAGTTCAGACCAGCATCAGAGAATGCCTGTGCAAAATCATCGCGAACCGCGGGGTCATTTTTTCCCCGTCGAACAACGACCCAGAGTTTTTTGCGTGCCTTATTCATTTGCTGTTCTTGCTGGCCGAGGCAAAACACGCGGCGTTTATGGTAGCGGCAGAAGACGTGGATAACACGACGAAGTAACGACGTAACCTAGTGGACTTGTATGTCAGATCCATTTTATCAAAGCTCATGCATTTAGATATTTTGCTTACTCTGTGATCACTGCTGCAACGATGAATTGATTTACTAAAATGTCATTCATGATTGCTAGCCAACATTGACGCTGGGACCCTTCTGTTGCGCGTAGATCTATCGACGGGAACCATCTCTGTTATTAGCAATTTCTACCTGTCGCTTCCGTCCATAAATTTTAAGTGTCCCTCTGAGTAGTCCTTTCTAGACTCCTCAGTAAGAGTATATTTCAGAAATTTTTTCTGGTGATTGTTTCTTGTTAGACGATATTGCTGTTATGCTGGTGGACTGTTCTTAGCTGGATAATTTCAGACAATTTCAGCTAGAATGAAACTGTGGTTACAATCCCAGAGAGAAGGGTTTGGTGCACTGTCATTATTAGTCATCAGGGAAAGCTTGGTAACTTTTTTCATTTGTCATCTATTCACTAATATGTATGTTAACCGTTATTAGGCCAGATAAATGGTTGATCTGAGTGATTTTGAAGATAAGCAGGAAACAACGAAAAAATACCCTTGTGTAGTATAGCTATCGAAATTTCATGTGAATTTTTTTGTTGCACGATCTGCAGCTTTCATCTGCATAACACCATGCAGTACGCATACAACCGAATTATCTTTGTTGTGAAAAACGCAATGTATGTACTGAAGCATCAAAAGCCTTTCGTCGGATGCCGCTTTACATTGTCTTCGAGGCATTGTTCTGTCTTCAGATCGTGTTATTCAGCTTTGGTTATAAATAGCGTCCGCGGTATCTTCGACGATTCGCGGGATCGGAAGCGCTTCATTGTCTAACTGACTTTCCTTCGGTCACTTATCACCCTGTGCGTCCTCTGTTGTTTCACGGGGCTCAGTTGCGATTTGTCTCTTGACCTTTCATTGTCTAAATAGCATTCGGTCGATCCTTCGAACCACCGCTATGCTGAATTACCGCTGTGGAGCCGGCATTATATCTGAATACTCAAGAGCTGGAAAATTCTCATTTAATACATTTCAAAGATTTGCACAATCATGTTTAACCGCGAATGCTAAGTCAGGTTTTTCCTACTAATGTTTGGCATTATGTTTTTCCGCTTGCAGTGCGTAGGTACAGATTATATCGCCTAGTTTCATTCATTAATGCGATACTTCATTTGTCATAAATAATGTCGCAATATATTGTATATTAGTGATTTCAAGAAGTATAATGCACACTGTAGATAGATTCATATTTAGCGAATCTCTTGAGGAGTATGTTTTCGTACATTAAGCACGTTTTCCATGGCTGGGGGTTCCTTGCTAAGTTACATATTTAGTCGCGTCCTGGAAAATGGTTATTAGATAGGCGTTTTCCCCAAAAGCAGTCAAAACGAAAGATCATGATTTCATAGTATGTTATATGCTGTGTTCTAGCGTACTAGCAGCAGTCTCGATTTTTATGATTTGCATAACTAATTTTGTGTTTTGTACTTATAAATACTGCGAACAGCGTCACACGCGTCTTTTATATGCCTCTTGTATTATGAGTTGTATAGGATGCGCACACTGCTCTTTATTACATACCTGTGATATAGTACGTATCGTGCCATTAATCTGATTAGGTGACAAACGACACCGGCAGCAATAACACCAGCATATGAACTGTTTAGTATAAATGACGGATAGAAAATTTTTTCTAAATTTAAGTTATTTTAAAATGTGAAATTTATCATAGCTCGTCTAATGAAAAAGTGCGTAAGCAGTATGTCACCAACGCCGCGATCATAGTCAGTTTATCAACAAAAGTGTGGGAAGAAACGTTCTTAACCAAGAAACAACTAGTAGAAGAAATCTTCAACTCGCCGTTATGTCCTGAAATTTGTGCCTCTCGAGCATTAGCTTCAGAATCGGCAAGCCGAATATGGCAAAATTTCGTCAGCAACGAAGTCAGAGGTTGCTCAGGGAAGGACGCTCAACAAATACACTCACAGCTGCAGTCTGTAAGTACTTTTTGTCGAAGGTTTTTTTGCACTTGTGTTCTCTACCATGTGATGTTTTCATGTTTTTAGATAAACTGAGCTGATCTGACGAAAATTATCATACTCTAGTCGAAATATTACCAATTACCTAATATGCAAAGCGTCTTAAAAAGGCATACATCTGTTTATTCCTACGTTAGTAATCATATTGAAGATACAACCCCGCACGGCTTATTTCATTTGGCCCCGCATAATTGGACAGTCAGGAAGTTAGATCGCTATTATCGTTTCGTCATTATCTCAGTCACCTTCGTTCAAGGAAAGGAGGAAATTAGACGTTTTTAGTGCTGATAGTTGTGTGTAATTGATTTTGCTTGAGCCACGAATTATGGATAGAAAATGACCGTGATCCAAGCCATGCCAAAGAAGTGTGACTCCGACAGATACCTTTAAAGCATAGACGGAAACGACAGTAGTGGCTTGCCAAATCAAGACTGTCAGCGGTATTTCATATATAATCCAAGTGATATATGTACTACGTATATATCTGTATCACTTGGATTACTGCCACAATTAGGAGCTGATGCAGAGAATTCCATTGTAGAAGAATTTGGACCAAGGGTGTATGAAAATGTCGTTTTGGTCGGCCATATTATGCTATGACAAATGTCGTTTTGGTCGGCCATATTATGCTATGACAAATGTACTGTTTTATATGTTTTTGTCAAAAATCTGTGAAGGAAGCGCCAGGCCTGGTAGCACCAACGATTTCTCCTTCACAACAGAGGTGTGACATGCGGGAATAGATTCTGCGGCAAATTCGGACAAAAGGTCTCCAAAAGGCGATTTACGGTATATCAAGCGATAATTATTGGATAGTTTATCACATTAATTTGTATTGCAGCACTTGACGTGACCAAGAATCGGTTGCCTGTCAGGTTTTCATGACCCAGAAGCTGGCCAATAAAAATGTGTTGGCATAAACTGCTTTGAATCCTAAAACAGTGTGTCGCCAAGAAGTGCACATCATTTCCATTACTATGTAAAAGCAAAGCTCTCTGGCTGTTACTACGTATTAAGGTTGCCAGTGTGGGAAGCTAGTTCATGCATCCTTTTATGAGATTGCTGGTTTTACAAAGGCTGCAAAAGTAGACGAGGCCCTAGAAGCTTCAGCTGCTTATGGTCGGACGTCTTTGTCGACAGTTACTCTTTAGATTTCATTTTACATATCTTCCGTTAATGACAGTTTACTTTGCTAGCATCATCGTTCCTTTCCGAGTTGCTCGTCAACTCACTGTTTTCGAAACGTTTTTTTGTGTCTCTTTTACTCACGGAGAGCATTGTAGAAAATCCAGAAAGTCACCGGCGGTTTGCAGCGGTTGACAAGCAGAAGAGCTATCCGCAGTAACACTTCTGTTCGTCCCAGCGTTTCCTATCAGGTAAACAGAACGGGTTCTATATTTTAAACGTATTGTTTTTGATATCGTTTATGCGTTGCATGATTTCAGCTTTGACGCTGCTTTGAGCAAACCGGGGGGGGGCACCCGTAGCCTTGCGAAATGATTGTGTCAAGTGCATGAACTAAAATGCCCACCTTTATTTTCGATGATCAGACTAGGTATATCCATGCATGACGGTCACCTCTATATATGGACGTAACAGAGGATAAAGATCAGTTTAAACCTGTTTTATACGCATGTACTTGAGTGGATGTAGGATCTATGCACACAATGCTCTTTGTCTTCATAAACTGTCTTTCAATGCTGTAATTTCTGGGTCTGCTGCTATAGTATCGAGTAAGGTAGGCAGAGACCTCTGCGAAGCAACACATGCATCATGAAAATAAACTGGAAATCAGCGCAAGCACAGTTGGGACACGTTGCGCCACCGTTCTGTAGCATATGAATGGCCAGCTTCCTGTCCATTGTGTCTTTCAACAACCCCTGACGATACGCCAGAAATC